CAAGTAGAATTTGCAACTGCAGCATAAATTAATAAAATAAATAAAAAAACAGAATCTTCAGCTTTTTTGATGAACTGCAGCTTCATCACTTACAAATAATTTTAACTTATATTTTTCATATCTTATAGCCATTTATGTTGTGATTTTAAAGGTTTTCATTTTCATATTCCTATATTACCAGCTTTAAAAGATGACAAATTATGACAGATTGTAAAATAATWATTTGAACGGCGCTCAGTGATTATAGCAGCTCCATCTGGACATCATCCCAGCCTGGTTGTTCCACTAATCTGACTCTAAAGTCACAGAATAAAGTTGTCTTTTGTGGTAAATGTGTAGTTTTACTTTTTTTTTTTCCCTAGCATGATTCAAGTTAAAATAAGTCTGAACGAACTTTGGGTCAAAAAGTTAAAGACTAATCTGCTGAAATGTTTCCTGGCTGCTGTGTAAATATTGCAGTAAGAACTTAATTTTTTAGGATTTAGAACCAAACTGTTTTAATTTAAATCATGTTAGACATTCTTAATCAGCTCATTGAACAGCAAAAATATAAAAATCTATTTTGAAACTTCACTTTTATTCTTGTCCCGATCATCAGTTAACACCTTAAAGATTGAGGTTATATAAGTGATACAATGTAAAATGTTTCCTTCCAGGATGTGTGTTGTCTGTTCTGCATTTATTCATTGCTGACGTTTGTCATGTTTGTTGTTGTTGTCTTGCAGAGCTGTTGCGCAGCCGTTGGAACCTGTGTGGTAGAACTCTAGCCTTCAAGCAAGGAGCTTGCGGCCACCGCGGCACGACGTTTTTCATGTCAGAGACCGAGCGCGCTTGCAGTCGTTTATGTCATCCCCTCTTTTCCAGACAGAAGATCCCGAAAAATCCCCAACCAAGATCCTCTTATCTTGCTGATAGTTCCGACATCCAGCCAGAATGTCTGTCAACGTCAACCGCAGCGTGTCAGACCAGTTCTACCGCTATAAGATGCCCCGTTTGATCGCTAAGGTGACGGTGTCAGTTTCAGATGTCAGAGCTGGAGGAACAGAGTCCTTGAACTGTGCTTTAATGTGTTTTTTCTTTATTTTCATTCAGGTTGAAGGCAAAGGGAATGGAATCAAGACAGTCATTGTCAACATGGTTGATGTTGCAAAGGCTCTGAACAGGCCTCCAACATGTGAGTCAGACCAGAGTCATCAGCTGGTGTTTCTTCATTAACATGAAAACAAGGTGGAGGGTTGGGTTTAAACTTATCTTTTAGTTTAAAGAAAGAAGCTGGATTTGAGTTTAGATGAAAGTAAAACTGTTTAGTTTGAGCCTGAGATGCATGCTGCAGTGTGAGGGACATAATTAAGACTAAGCAGGAGGTTATATCTAGTCCCAAGCCTGGTATTGATCTGATTAATGATAGGCTGGCACCGCTAACAGAGCAGCTTTATGTTTAATATTYATGTTTGATGTCAAGTTAAACAATAAATTCTGTTTAAGGTGCACCTGTCAGTGTTTGGTGCTTAAAAAGTTTGTCTAATAAAGTAGGTGAGCAGCCCAGGCATGCTGGTAACAATGTGTTGTTTTTCAGAGAGTTGTTTTTATAAGCCTGATTTAAAAAAAATAAAATAAAATTCAGCTCAGTGTTTGGCTAGTCATTAGCCTTGCCTGGATGCCTCTCTAACGCTAACTTATCCATGCTTGTCACTAACCTCTCTGATACTAACACCAGCTTATCCATGCTATACCCTAGCCATTCCAATGCTAACGCCTGCTTGTCCATGCTAGTTGCTAGCCTCTCCGATGCTAACTCAAATGAATAGTCTCCTTCTCATTTGCAGCTCCAGCTGYTCRGTTAGYRGTRTCRGCCTATCATTAATCAGATCAATAGCTGGTTAGGAATAGATATAGCCTCCTGCTACAAGGATGTAGCAACCCCTGGTTGTGCAATAGTCTTAATTTTGGTCCTSGYACTGCACCGTAGAGATGTTCTGTGGTGTGAGTAAACTCTGCAGGATCCTGTTCTTAATGAACACTTTCATGTTTACAAACCGACACAGTCAGCATTATTTATCTTCTCTCTGTTTCTCTCTGCAGACCCGACTAAGTTTTTCGGTTGTGAACTCGGCGCTCAGACCCAGTTTGATACCAAAAACGATCGTTACATCGTCAAYGGATCCCACGAGGCGAACAAGCTGCAGGACATGCTGGATGGGTTCATCAGAAAATTTGTGCTGTGTGCCGAGTGTGACAACCCTGAAACTGACCTGGTGAATGTTTACACACCGCACACCGCCTGGAAATAATCAGAATATTCAAATAAACAAGATTATTTTATTTTATAAGTGTGTTGACCTAAAGAGAAGTTCTGTTTGTTTCTCGCAGCATGTCAATCCCAAGAAACAAACCATTGGTACTTCCTGTAAGGCCTGTGGACACCGCGGCATGCTCGACACCAGACACAAACTCTGCACGTTCATCCTCAAAAACCCACCCGGTGAGTCTCTCTCTCTCTGTCTCTTTGAGTCGTTGTGTTGGCGGTGTCCGTGTTTAACCCCTCTGCCTCTCCGACCACAGAGAGCACGGAGAGCGGCTCTGTGTCCGTAAAGAAAGAGAAGGAGAAGAAGAACCGCAAGAAGGACAAGGAGAACGGTTCTGGCAGCAGCGAGGCCGGAAACCACGACAGCATCGACGCTCCTGAAGCTGTGGTGAGTTTCCTCACCGAGTCGTTAAAGGACCTGGACCACGATTAGTTGTAACATTATTATAACTTTATTTGATAAACATTTATTTTAGCTGTAAAGTAAAGACTGTAAAAATACTGTAGGCAGTTCAGTTTGGTAAATTTTTAAAAATATATTTTAACGGACGGAGCCATTTTATTTCGACACAAATCATTCTGGGTAAATGATGACGTGGATAGGTCCTCGGTGCGAGGCTGCTAGCGAACTATATCCACCCTGAAGGTTAATTTTGGACAAAATCTGATGATCGACTCTTTTAAATGAAACCAGAGAGCGTTGACAGAGAGAAGGTAGAAATGACTCTAAACTTAAACTTTTAGTTTAAAAATGATAAAAACTAAACATCCTACAGTATTTTTACAGTCTTTATTTTACAGTTAAAGTATGTTTATCAAATAAAGTATAATGTTACAACTAATCGGGGAAACCTTTAAAGA